TTAGCTGCATAATGCTTGCTATACTATGTCATGTGCTGTGTTGTAATTACATGTGGGGAATGTACTTCATGTAGTGAGCAAAGCTTGCTCTAAATCATCTGGCATCCCTACAGTTTGGTTGATTATTTGCCCATAAATGACCCTGGAATGCTTTTGGAGGAACTGGTGCACTATGTTGACCTTGTTTATTAAAAATATTTAATGTAATACAAGAGGTTTTCTTGCATTTTTTTTGTTCCATTAATGTGAAAATCAAGCCAAGTTATTCTGATCTAGTTAAACTTCCTCACAGTGTACTCTCCTGACCTTCTGCTTTCATTTACTGTTTCTTGGGTAGCCAGATTTTTGCAAAAAGTGTGCAGCTCCTGCTTCTGACTAGTCCACAGCCTTGCAACCAGGGAGGCTGGCAATATGCTAGTAAAAATGCTTGTATTTGAAAAAAACCTGAAAAGTTTTAGTCTTGTTTTCAAGTAAATGGCAGTGTACAGGTATGTGTTGTGTTGGAAGATTTCTCTACACTTTGCATGCCATGTAGTCATAGTTTTTATATCTCTTGAGGATAAATTTTCAAGCTTGCAAAAGGACAATGTAATTGGTGGGACGGTGCTCATTCCTATCCCTGTGTTCCAATGGTGTATGCAGAAAGTACTGATGTGGAAATGAAACATAATACAAAGCGATGCAGTTAGTAATTGTTGAAATTCAAGGCTTAATAACATTGTATTGATGAGGGTCATTTGAAGTTAATTCAAGTATCCATGACTAAGTAGCATGACAAATAGACAAAATGGAAAGTTAAACTTTGCTGCAGATGTGATGATAAAAGGCTTTTTAACAATTAGCACAAAGGCTTCAAGAAAAAAAAAAAATACTGCACAGTGAAATACAATCCAACATAAAAATTGAATTGAGAAGCAATCTATTTAACATACAAGCAACTTGAGAAATTAGTGTAAGGAGAATAAAGAGATTTAAAGGTACAAAGAATTTTATCCCAGTATGCTCAACTGTGGATTACTTCTTAAGAGGGCTATCCATCATTTTAACAATCTGGTGTATGTTACAACTCTAACCGTATCACAGCCTTTGATAGTTAAGTATCTGGACATTTGTTGAGATATGACTGCTTTCCTTGAAGCTTCCAGTCTGTCACTTGAAAGAAATGAAACAGAAGTAGAGCAGGCATTGTCTGTTACTCTTTAGGATCTGCCAGCTGATTAGCAGTCCTCTTTTTTCTTTGAATATGCAGACTCTTTCATGCTTGAATATAATGTTTGCTGCTTCATGCTGTGTATCATCAACCTGTTGGAAGCAATTGGCAAATCATCATCTCTTTGTTCTTTCCTGTGATTAAATTGGGATTAGGAAGGGCTGAGCACCAGACTGATGCCATGTCACTGAGGCAGCTCAGTCAAGTTTATAATGTGCATGCTGATCCGTTTTCCTGTACAGTCACTCAAGAAATTTACTGCATGTGGAAGAACATGCCCTTGAGGCAGTTCAGACAGACGTTCTGACCTCTGTTCACCTAAAGGATAGCAGAGACAAAGTTTCTTGGCTTTCCTCTGTCTTCTGATTTCTCATGCTGTAAGGTGGAGGTTATGATAGATGGAGGTTCATTAGTTGCTTTGTTCACAATCAGCAGGTTTGAGGAATGGGTTTATTCAATCAATCTAGGGCATTACTTGTATTTAAGATGTTAGGTATCATCTGAAGTGTCTTGCTGGCAAGACTTCTTCAGCATTTTTTTTGTTTCCTGAGAAAAATGGTCAGAGGGAGATGCATGCCATTTCATTCATGGAGAATACAGACCACAGATAATTATTTACATGTGGAAGAGACTTTTCTATGTATATTGCTTTGAGAGTTCTGTGTTGCTTCCTCGGTTCAGGAGCTGCAAGCCCCTGTTGTGTTAGACAGGAATTGAGAATGTGGTTAGCATCTCTTACACTGAGCTGCTAACAAAATGGGACTGGTTTCCTCCATGCTTCTGGTGTAAGCTCTGACCTTTGCCTTTTAAATTGTGCAGAGTTGTGTTGGTTTAAGTTATGCTTTTTCAAGAAGAAATCATGCTCTATCAGCAACCAGCCATGCTTCTGCCTTAGCTACAGAATGTCTGGGCCTTCCATGGAGTTGGAGTAGTGTGAAGAACAGCAGGCTTTATTTGACATCATGATACAATCAGCTTAGCGTGTAGCTTAACATCACAACTAAGCTATATTAAAAGCCAGTAGCTGAGCTGATAACACTGTGATTTTAAATTTAAGAAGGGTCTGGTGGCTGACTTGAATCCTCACCTAACTCATCCCTCACCCCAACAAGCATCCAGTGCTGTTGCTGCAGTTTGCCATTTTGTCTTACCAAAGTAAAAATGTTCTTGGTCCAGATTTAGCCTGGATAATTCTCACAGTTGGTGGTTGACATTCTGTAAATGGCCACTGAATATCTAAATGATCTTACGCTGTGTTTCCAGCCTCAATATTGATGATACTCTCCTGTCCTTCTGAGGTGGTTTTCCACCACACATGAAAAGGAGAGCTTGTTTTTTTGATGCTCTGGTTCATGTTCTCCTTGGTTGTAACTAGGTATGCATGTTGACTTCATAGTAACTGAGAAGTTAAATTTGCCAGGCTTTTAAGCAGAGTCACAGTGCAGAAGTTACAGATCTTCATTTACCTGTAGAAGCACATTGCCTATAGTTCAGTTTTTCAAGTAGCAGCTGCCCTGTTAAGGAGTGCAGTACTTAAAGTATGTGTCGAAAAAGTTGCAATGTACTTGTGGGTTATTTTGTTTATCATTGTTTTCTAGAGCTATAAATAGAATTTGGTTTGTGATAGTGCTTGGATAAATTTGCTCATTCTGTCCTTAAATGTGCCTTGTATATAGCAATCTGTCAAGGAAAGGCTATTGTAGCTTAAGAGTGTGTGATCAGACTTAGGAAAACAAGATGTTTCTTGGGCTGGATTTGCTTAGATGACTGAGTTGACAGCATTGTTTGTTGCCAGATAAAATTGTCATTCCTTCTTAGTCAAATTTATCAGTGGTGTTGTCTGAGGGACCATAATGGTGCAAGTGACTTCTGCAGACAGGTCTGTAGAGTTTGCTGCACAGTCATAGTTAAAATGTTTCTTATGGCTGTTATTCTAGCATCTGAAACTGCTTTCTACAGGGACCTAAATAAAGGAATAAATTAAAAGGTATAAAATTGAGAACTTAAAAAACTGCAGCAAACCAATACCCACAGAAGGAAAAACAAACCTCCATGACTCCTTTGTGCCAAGTAACTCATGCAGAGGGAGAAGACAGCCCATTCCAGTTTAATTCTACTTCCCAAATATTGTAGAAGCTTGAAAGGCTCATTCTGCTTTAGGGGGAGGTGTGTAAAAACTTCAGTTCCAGTTTGCAGTATGAGCCAGGCCTTACATGGCTTTTTCTGAAATGTCTTCTCTAGATGTTTGATCCTATATTGTGCTTGGTTTTACACATTTGGAGGAAGGAAAAAAAATGTAGGTATCACTCCAAAACTAACTGATACTTTTAAATGTAGATTGCTGTAACAGGTACTAAACAGCTTCTTAAGTTGACATCTTTTAAAAACAGGGATTTTTTTGTTGTCACTTCTTTCCAGAAGACTGAAAGGAAAGCCACATAAGAGGTACACTTATAGAAAGGCTGAAGGATTCATAGAGTTGATCAGAATTATCACAGGCTTATAGAATGGCTTGGGTTGGAAGACATCTTAAAGATAATCTAGTTCCAACTGCCCTGCATGGGCAGGGACACCTCCCACTAGACCAGGTTGCTCAAAGCCTTTTCCGTCCTGGCCTTGAATGCTTCCAGGGAGAGGGCAGATGCAACTTCTCTGGGCAGCCTGTTCCAGTGTCTCAGCTCCCTCACACTAAACAATTTATTTCTAATGTCTAACGTAAATCTCCCTTCTTCCAGTTTTAATCCATTACTCCTTGTCCTATCACTTCCTGCCCTTGTAAAAAGCCCCTCCCCAGCTTTCTTGTAGGCCCCTTTCAGGTACTGGAAGGCTGCTATGAGGTCTCCCCAGAGCTTCTCTTCTCCAGGCTGAACAACCTCAAGTGTCTCAGCCTGTCTTCACAGGAGACATGCTCTGGCCCTCCTCTGGACTTGCTTGGACAACTCCATATCCTTCCTGTGCTGGGGGCTCCAGAACTGGACACAGTACTCTGTGTGGGGTCTTACAAGAGAAGAGTAGAAAGGGACAATTGCCTCACTTGATCTGCTGAACATGCTTCTTTTGATGCAGCCCAGGATACAACTGGCTTGCTGGGCTGCAAGCTCACATTGCTGGCTCATGTTGAACTTCTTATCAACCACCAGCCCCAAGTTCTTCTCCTCAGGGCTATTCAAGCCATTCTCCATACAGCCTGGATTTGTGCTTGGGATTGCCCTGACCTTATATGTACTAGGCCTTACTGAATTTCATGAGGTTGGCAAGTGTCCACCTCTCAAGCCTGTGAAGGTCCCTCTGGGTGGCCTCCCTTCCCTCCAACAGGACTACTGCACCACACAGCTTCTTGTCACCAAAAATTAGTTTTAGTCTTAATTTGTAAAACCTGGAAACTAACCTTTGCAGTTCCTTTTCATTACTTAGGAACTAGTTGAAATTCATGGAGAGGGCATTTAAGGTTGTTGAGGACTGATGTTTGGTTTGTGGACAGTCTGTTCTTCCATCTGGATTAAAAAACCTGACAAGATAATCCAATTGAGATCATAATCTTGTTTATAGCTCTGACCTTGCATCACAGGAAATGCATCAGTCTTTAAGTGAGCACTGATACACAAATAAAAGATTTGAATAGAGGAGGCTGTGGATGTTTTGAATGTTGTCTTAAGATTGGAAATGACAGATTTTTTTAGTTGCAGACTGAGGTAGAAGAGGAAATTCTAGAGAAGTATAGTCTCAGAAGCAGGGGTAAGAACCCTGGGACATGCAGGAAGGGAGAATGCAGATTCTGATAGTGTAGTGCATGGTCACTGTGCTCCTTGGACAGCTGGAAAAGGAGCTACCTGTGGTGACTGAAGATGAAGGTGCTTTCCCTGTACTTCAGCAAAATGGGTGTGCAAGCAGCAGGTTGACTCAGTGGGGAGCCTCACCTACTGTCCTGAAGAAGAAAGGGAAGCAGTGTTGTTAGAGCTCCTGTAGTGTTTTTGCTGGCTGGGACTTCACAAGGAACTCATGCCTGGACCTATTGCAGCTTCTTGGTCAGAATGCTGGTGCATGTTGTAAATAATTAGAAATCCCTGGTAAACCTCAGGCTGTGGTAGCTTAGCTTCTGCCTTCCTTTGCTTTATGCTGCTGTGGTACAGTGTAAATTGAGGTATGCTGCCCCATTACTCTTTGTTCTGTTATTTACTTTGCTAAGCTAGAAATATTTCACTGACTCTGAAGCTGTTATTTTGAAGGAGTTTTGTTATTTCCTAGTTTTGTTTCCATTTTCTACTGAATTTTCAGTTGGAGGGGTTTTTTTCTAGTAAGCACAAATTTTATACTGGAGATGCGGTGTTTCAGTGAAGATACATGTTTAACAGGAGCTTTGCCAGACATGCATTCTTTTGGCAGCGACTGGCAATTTTTATTATAGTTTATCTTTTTTGGTGACTTTTATATCTGCTGTATCTGTTGTCACTTAAAGGCACTGTCACATAAGACGTTGATGAACTTTTTAACATGAGCTTGGCATCTGACTGTGCAGTAACTGGTGGTATACTCAGTTTTTCAGTGTCAAAGTTCAGCCACTTTTTGCCCACTGTTCAAAGTGCTAATAACTTGTTTACCATCTGAAGGCTGAAGTGGGATGTGTTGGGAAGGCAGGTGCATGTACAGATCCATCGTATGAATAAAGATAATATCTGTTCCATGAATTTTGGTGTATTTTGTCACAATTGGATTATTAGGTAGAATGAAAATAAAGTCTCAGATTCTTTCAATGAAGCTGGAGCCTCATCTCAAATCAGTCTAGCAACAGTCTCTGGGAAAGCTTTGAAGGCAGATTGATACTTTCTAAGTAAAGGAAAGTTAGAAGGAAGTTTCTTTTTACAACTGATGTTTGTTTTACAGTAACGATTTTCAGAGTATATTGAAATTGGTGGTTTGCAAAAAAATACAGTTCAAACTGAGAGTCTTAAGCATAGCTCTTGTTGTACAGTTAGGGAAAATTCAAGTGTTAAGGATAGTATGAAAGACTCACACTTGAGCATAACTCTTCTGTCACCCTGCCATGCACACAAGACTTTTACAGTTTGCAAGGCACATGGGTGTATATTTAGGGGGAGTCAGTTTTATAAAATTAAATATTCTTGGCTTTTGTTTCTAGGGTCGCATGATTCTTTCAGCTATTGGGTTGATGAGAAATCTCCTGTGGGACCAGATCAAGCTACAGCCATCAAACGCTTGGCCAGAATTTCTTTAGTTAAAAAGATAATGAAGAAATGGTCAGTGACTCAAAACCTGACTTTCAAAGAGCAGCTGGAAAGCGGGATCCGCTACTTTGATCTTCGTGTATCTTCCAAACCTGGCGATACAGGACAAGAGATTTACTTCATACACGGCTTGTTTGGTATCACAGTATGGGATGGTCTGAAGGAGATCAACACCTTTCTTGAACAGCACCCCACAGAAGTAGTCTTCTTGGACTTCAATCACTTCTATGCCATGGATGACAGCCATCACTTCTTCTTGATCAACAAGATCCGCTTAGCATTTGGATCCAAACTTTGTTCTGTTGAATGTGTGGAACATGTGACATTAGAGTACATGTGGGAGAAGAAATACCAGGTAGGGAGAAGAAATACCAGGTAGCGAAAGGATGTATAATGCTTTTGAAACCCAAAATGTTAAGATTTAAATAATGAAGCTGGGTGTGGTTCCTACTCAGAAGTATTGGACCAAAGATGTTGGTAACTGTCTATAAGCTTGCTGCGGGCTCTGTGTGGGATGCATGTTTCCCTCCATTTATGTGCAGCTGTGTAGTCCTTCCATCTGTGGTGTTACTAGACTGTCCTGCTCCCAAGCATGTTTGTTAAATAAATGGTCATCTTTCCTGGAAGAGCACATTATGCAGCTTTGTGTTGATGAGGATTGGATAGACTGGTCAGTGTGAAGCATATAAGCTTTAACGTAACTAAGACATTGTACAGAATTTCTTGGCTCCTTTGCAACCACCCAGATCTGTAGTGCCAAGATTAAATGCCTCTTCTCTGTGGTAAGTGCTCCCATGCAGGTCTGCAAGTGGAGAACAGAGTTTCAGCGATGGCACACCATTCTTAAACTGTAAAATATGAGGTTTTGAGGGATTCCTCTGAACTGATGCTGCCAGTGCAAGGGTCTGAAATGCATAATTTGTGAGTCTGGGTGTTAATAAAGTGTTGCATCTTTGTGCTATCCTCTTACCCAACTTGCAAGGCATGAAATATTGACTTGATTTAGAGAAGATTTTGCTGACAGCAAGACTGATTTTGGTATCTCATGCAGTAAGTGTGAGTGGAATGCTGTTATGCCAGTCAGCCAGGTAGCTGACTTTAGCCACTTAGGAGTTACGCAGAAGATGGCAAGACTGTTTAAAAATCCTATTTCAAGTACAGATGTAATATCCTTTGACAGTGCTTTGAAATGCTTTTTAAATTAATCCTTTGAGTGTCATTTCATTATACTCCTGGCAACTTTTTCATTTTAAACTGATGACCCTTAAAGCCTGAAGGAATCCTGTCCTTGTAGCTAACCAAAATTATACCAGTCTTTTTTGGCAATAGTGCAACAAATTGACACTTATTACTTGAGAGCAGCTTCTTTTTGCTTGGTCCTCTTTTCGCTCTTGTGCTAGCTGCAGCAGTACTGTGTAAGCATAAACTAATGTGACATCCTGTTTAAAAATAAATAACACTTGTGAATTTGTTTTTTTTTCTCCTTGCTCTTCTGTTAGGTTCTCATATTCTACCACTACCCTTTGTATCAGAACTACCCCTTCCTGTGGCCAGGGAATAAAATGCCAGCACCATGGGCTAATACAACCAATGTGCACAAACTGCTACAGTTCCTGGAGACCACTCTTGAGGAACGAAGTCGTTATGGGACTTTTCATGTTTCTCAAGCAATTCTCACACCTCGAGTGAGAACTATTGCACGGAATCTAGTTCGTGGCCTGAAGAACACGCTTGTCCACAGGTAAGGTCTTGTTCTGGTTTCTCAGTGCTTTACCATGTCTCATGTTGAAAGAGACAATGAGTAAGGAAGAAAATATGAACTGTTTACTTTACAGTAAGACTTCATGAAAGCATGCAGTTTTCCTTTATTACTGCTGCTTGTGAGATGTATTTGCAATCATTAAAAAGAGAATTACTAAAAGTAAAAGTAACAAGGTATACATGTAATGTGTTTCCTGGTAACTAGAGCTGTTTTTTAATTTGATATGATTTCCTAAAACATGGGCTTATCTTGTTGTGTCGAACTCTTAACTCATTCCAGATTGGCTAAAATTGAACTGGGAGGGAAGGGGGGGGATGGGACAAAAGTGTGTGCCACAGGAAAACTGCCTGTTTGTGTGCTCAGTTTTGCATGTGTACGCATCTGTCTTGGTTATTTTGGTAATGGCTAAAGATGTGTAACCTCAGGTAGTATTTTATCTTATACCACTAACTGTTGTACAATTGATTTGCCCATAAATAAGATCTTTAGTAGAGGGTTTTGCTTTGAGTAGTGTTGAGTGTCAGTGGTTTCTAGTAGTGTTAACAGCATGAGCAGGACAGGATTCAGTGACATCATAGAATGGTTATGGTTGGAAGGAACCCTGAAGATCATCATGGCATTATCCCGTTTTACAGTAATTAGCCTGTTTACTAAAAACAGGCAGAACTGTAACAGTCCTGGTGGGATGTGATCTTCTGGCTCACTGTTTAATATTGCCTGTTTTGATGTCTCTAACAGTTCATACTGCATTAAGTTATTATTACACTTGTATAGGTGGTCTTAACTGGTCCAATGTGATCTACAGCTGAGCATAAGCAGTGAAATGGACACATCTTCATCAGGCAGCTCATGCTGCTTTTGGAAGAATCCTTGGTCACTTCAGAAGTGATTTATAGTATTATTTTGAAACCAAAGCAAATATAACTTATTTTCTCAAAAATACTTTCTAAAAGTAGCAAGTGTTTGTGCTTTTTCAGTTGCAAAAGTTGTTGACAGAAGTAAGGAAATTTCAGATTAAGTATAAATCGTGGAGTTTTCAGTCTCCTTCCTGTTTACAGGCATTAATCTGGCAAAAGATAATGACAACCAAATGAGTTTTGCCTCACTGTATTCAGGTCTCTACTGTGGCTTGCGCTTTGCCGTGTCTGTGCAGTCACCGTTGGACACTAGATGGTGCTCAGGTGCTTTAAGACTGGCGTTTGCTGTCACAAGTGACACAATTGTAAATACATATGCTTGTTGGGGATACCTAACAGAAAGCACGGATGTAATTTAACGTTTGTGTACTCTGTTAAATGTGCTTTTTTCTCGAGAATAAAGAAAAGATTATGCTGAATTTCTATTTTTAAACTAGTAAATGATCATCCCGTTTCATGGAGTGGGCAAGCAGTTTGGTTTCCAGTGACTCCTGGTACACATCTGGGCTTGTAAGGGCACTGGTAGGCTGAAAGCCTGCCTTTGCTTCATCCCTTTCCCTCAGCCCTATCATTACCACTTCTTTGCAAGTTAACTGTGAAAATTTAAAATAGATGCTTCTGTTCAGTAAAGTGTGATTGCTCGCATACGTTACACATGCTAGATGATTTGTGTGTGTAAATCTGTCTTTGCAGTTCTGTGTAGAAGTCTGCCTTCTCATATGGAAATTTTGCCCTGAATATGAATATTTAAGTGTTCTTGAGCTTTTGCTAAAGGAGATCATGAATATTATTTTGTGTGCGTGGTAGTTTAGATATTTCTGTTTGATAGCTAATGACCACCTGCTATGTTAAAGATTCTTCTCATTACGTGGTTGCATTTAGGGTGGTAGTCGAGACCCGACTGCAAACCTGAGACTAACATAATCTGTGAAAAGTTATGTTGTATTTTAAATAAGTAGACTATGTATAAGGAAGAGTCTCATTTAATGTCTTAAATTTTCTTTATTTCAATTTTTTTAGGAACCTGCCCATGATTTTGAATTGGGTGAAAGAACAGAAGCCAGGTATTATGGGTGTTAACATAATTACATCAGACTTTGTGGAGCTGGTTGACTTTGCTGCTACAGTTATTGCATTAAACGACCTCCTTTTAGAAGAGGATGAATCTGCAACTAAACCCTGATTGCTGTGTCCCACTTATGCTCCTCAATGAACATCTTCGAACTCTGCGGTTTTATTTATGACGTGAAACCTATTACCATCTTTGTGTATTCAAAAAAAATGTAGAGTAAACGTGGTTAAACATCACACAGAGGCAGGTCCCAGTGATGTGTGGAACAGAAGGTGCTCTCTGAACGCTGCTTCGTGTCTGCAGCTGCGTGTTTGCCTAAGTTATGCACACATCTGCTGCAGTCGGGTGCAGTGTTTGCCTGCCAACAAGGGGCTGGCCTCTGGAGCAAATGTACCCTGTTATGGTGCACGTCTCCCTGGTGACCAGACTCACCGTGCCCTTGTGTGGGTATCCTACTTATTTCTCAACTCCAGGGTTCAAACCAAGGATTGCCACTGATCCCTTAGCAGCAGTGTGACCAGGCTACCCAAGACAGTGTTGTACTTGGGCCACCTCAGGCTTAGCTGGGCTCAGCTGGAGGCTGCTGCTATATTCATTTTGCTGTTTTAGAGACTACCTCTGATTTGCTTGGAGAAATAATATTGCTGTTGTTCAGGGGAAGCTGTTCTGCTGTATTGAATATCTGAGCTCTCCTTTGGGCCTAAGAGGCAAAGACTTGGCGTGCTCTGCCTCTTTGTACTCCAAACTCTTCTTCTGGACCTCTTTATTTTCAGTATGTTTTTTTCAGATGTGTTTAAGTGTGTTTCTTTTGGCATTAATTTGGAGAATATTTCAGTCTTCAAATTATGAGGATTATAACTCACAGATCTGAATTCCTATTATGAGACATCTGAGAAACTACAGTGTAACCTTTCTCTTTTGCTTGCTGGTCACTTGTTTTTTTCCATTGAGTTTTCTCTGGAGAAAGGTTCACCCACATAGCCTCTCTGAAAGGAGGTAGGCTAAGTGGGAGTTTGCTTGGTATTTGAAGAACTAGAGCTGACAGGGACTGCCCAAAACCCAAATACTGAATCTGTGGTTGCAGTGTGGCAGTGAATTCTGAAGTTAGACCCAAAATTTGTGCTTATAGTCATAGAGCCACAGCTACAAGGGAGAAATATACTCTCTTGTGACAAAGTAAGCAATAGTCACATGAGCATAGGCAGGCATCAGTGTGGCTGCTTTCTGTAGTCATACTTGGTTATGTGTTGATTCAAAATAAAATGTGGCCTGCGTGCTTGAGCCAATGCAGTCACATAGTGATACTTCACTGACTAGGTGATAGCAGCCCTGCGGTCTGATTTATCTTTGGTTAAAAGAAAAACAAACCAACACACAAAACCAACACAAGTGACTGATTAGCAGATATTTCTTAGCTTAATCATCTTCCCAAAGCAACTGTTGGTGCACTAATTATTCAGTGATTATGAATTTGTATTAATCTCTAACCTATTTATTATAGATGGATCATCTTTATAGATATTTATTAGAAAGAAAAGTGAATATCCGTATTTGTTAATTTTGTTACTGTATCTTGTATCTGCCATTGTGGTCTGACAGTGCAGAAAAATCCTCTTTTCTTGCTTGTCACAAACTCTGAACTGAGGACAAGTTTACCTAAAGGTTTGCAAGCCTTCCATGTGAACCTTGGCCAAGTTCTGAGCAGAATGTAATCTGATTTATCTGTTTGTTGCATGGTTTTCATTAGAATTCCTTGAATATTTATCTGAATCCTTTTTCCAAGGGAGTTGAGGTGGGGGTGGGAGGGTGTCTGTCTCTCAAGCTGTCATTTTGCTTTTCTCTTGTGTTTCAGTGACAGGGAACAAGTAATAAAAATCACTTTCTGGAAACTAAAGATCAAATTGCTAGTTTAAAACTCCTTTTGAAAATCCCAGCAGATTTTTATTATTTTTTGGTATTTTTTTCTTGTTGATGAAACTGTTGGAACCTGTTTTCAACAGCACTATTCTATTTGTAAAGTTACTTAAAATACCCTGATTTTCCTTAGCTTAATTTTTTGTTAACCTGTTTTTCTTATGGCCTCAACTGAAACTCCATGGTAGTGCTAAATGTATGGATTTGGTTTCAAAGGTCTTTTAGCTGCAGATTGTCTTAGAGCTCAGAACTTGGAAGCACTTGGTTTGAATGCTGATGAGGCAGAAATAACATGTGTAAGGTTTCCTGAAGAACTGGAGGACTAGAAGAGAAGGTGAAATGAATATGATGTTTGCATTCAAACATTAATATATTTTGTACTGTATGTATCTACCTCAAAAGAGATTTATCAGGCTTAACCAGTATTTGTTTTGTGTGCAGAATAATGACTGGTGTTCTTATATTGTATTTATTTGAGTAGAGATGTGATGGTTGTAACTCAGGGCTTTGGTTAGATGCTTTTAAGTATCAACTTAGAAGATTTTCTAACGCTTTCTGTTAACTCTCATAATTGAAACAGGACAAAGGAATGCCAAGTGTTAAGAGGGTCAGTAGAGGGAGAAGGAGCTGGATTAATGAAGTGAGGGGAAGAGAAAACATTTGTTTCTTTGGCCTGTCTGAAGGGACTAGTATGTTATTTCAGAGCAGTGCTTTGTGTTGCCCCTTAATGTGAGGAACCTGACAGTCTCAACAGTGAGTTGGGCAATTGACAGATACAATTGCCTGTAACAGAATATCTTCTCTGGATATTCTGGGCGATGTTAGTGCCAATGTTTAGAATTAGTTTTAGGGTAGTTCTAAAGCATCCTAGGCAATATGAACTAGCTTTTTTCTGTCACACCTTATAGCTATAGCCCATAACAAAGCTACCTGTATAATAGGCTTCCCTCTGACACAGCACCACAGCATATCCAGATTACCTCACACTTTGAAAAGCAAAGCTCATCTAGCTATTGGACTTTGGATTGCAGACTCTATTTTCTGTTATGAAAATAGAAGTGAGGCGGGCAGGAAGGAAGGATCAAGGAAGTAGGGCAGTAGTTTGCATCCAGTGCCCACATTGAAGGTGTGGCAGCATGTAGCCAGGTTTCAGGAAGCAAAGTGAAGTAGGTGTGGCAGGTGAGTGATGGTGGCCACAGCTCATACTGAGAAACTCAGTTGGGCATCTAGTCTCTCTCAGCTGGGTAGAGTATGGAGCAACTAACACCCTGCAAGGTTATGTGCATATGAGGTTGAGGAAAATGAAGGCTGGCATGAATGCAGGAGAAGACTGGGGATTCCTTGCTGTTGTAGAACTTCATCTCTTGAATTAACTGTTTCAGTTTGGCTTCTGTCTTCCCCAAGAAGTAAGGTTTGCTTTTAAATAGTTTAGGTGGAACACTTCCTCAGCAGAATTGTTATGAGGACTTGACCATTCTGTCGGTGCTGGGAGAGGAAAAGCGAGGAAACTAGTAGCTGCTTGAGGCAAAATGCTTTCTTGAATTGCATGGTCTTGAATAATTACTTGTATGGTGTGTTATTACAGATTCAGGTTACTTACATGTTGTGTTATGACTGTTTCTCTTCCTAATGTGCAATCACTGAATGCCAAGCACATGGGCAGTATGCCCTTTCTCTTGGCACTGACTGCTGCTGTGTACAATTCAAGGGCATACCTGAGGCAGAGGAGTCCTCTGTATGTATCCCCCTGATGGGAGGATTGAGAGGGTTTTACAAAACTTACATGTTTTTAACATCTCACTGTGTATTTGTAAGTGAAAGCAAAGAAGTTATTACTAGATTTTTCAGACTATCAATCACTCAGCTCCTTATTTGGGAACTGCTGTATTTAACAACTGCAGAGCTGGGAGTTGTAATGTTGATTTATTTTTTAATTTTTTTGAGAACAAAAAAACAGATTCTTTCTGTCCAATTCTTTGTCAAGAACTGAAGTGATTAACTTTCATGTGCTTTGCTGTGATGGAAAGTATCCTGCTGGAGGCAATGCTGGCAAGGCAGGTTTCAGGGGTCCTGTGGTCAGTAAGAGATACCAGATTGGGAATCTTCAGAGTATTAATGCTGATTGCAAAAAGGCCCCTGTTCTACTACACAGAGTCTTTGGAGAAAGTAAAGAAATAATGGGAAAATTATATCTTTGCTCCTGACACATGCTCTTTTCTTCTGTGCATGGAAGTTCATGCACAGAACTGGGAGTTCAGAAAGCACCTGTGCAGTGAAGTTGAAGAAGCACTTTTGAGCAGGGATTTTGGCTCTAACAGAAGTAGGGTGTCTGCCAAGATGCTTATCTGTTTTCATCTGGCTAAGCCTTTGGAAATACTTTTCGTGTACCTGTCTCAGGTGTCAGAGTTCATTGCTGTATCATGTAGCAGACCAGGCTTTAGGAATTCTATGGATAAATAGAGCACCTGGCCGTTTTTATTTGAAATTGGGCTACCCATGGAAGTCAGAGCATATGTGACTTGAGGTTTACTTGAATATATAATATTTAATACAGAGTCCATATGCAGTTTTAGTAAGACTTACATCTAGACTTTGGCATGTTGTTACCCATCTCTAATAAGCAGATTCTTTAGTCAGAAGACCATTGTTTGGGACAAAACATCAGGCAAATTTTTAGTGGTCATTTAAGAACAGAAATTGTCTAATATGAAGAACAGGATTGACCCAAAACTTGATTTAAAATACAAATTGTGTCAAGATGTAGTCATTCCAGCAGTGGAGAAGATTATTTTTTTGCTTTTCTGTGTCTGACAAGTTCTTTTACCAGCTTTGGTTTTTGACTCAATAGATGAGTAGAAGAGCCAGAGCATATGCTGAAGAGCAAATTCTATGCTAAGGACATGTATATTGAGCTAAGTGTAGTAAGAGTATAGTGATTTACTGATAATCTTATTAGCTGTTTGGCTTAGGTTGTTAAATCAGTCTCAATTTTGTATTAAAAAAATAATCTGTCTTACTGACTCCAGAAGTCTCTGTGGAAGAAATGTGTGTGCTTCTGTAAGTGTATTTATTTCCCTA